CATTCATTCTCCTTTTGCTTTTAGTCAAGACCCGGAAAAGCCGGTAACTTATGGTATAGCCACCGACATGCGTGCGTTGAACGGGCATTGACTGGGAAAGACGAGCCCTGGCTCTGATACACATCTGAGACTTTATTTAGATACCACAGTCAGTTTAAGCCACTAGATTCACTTTTCTCACAAATCCGAGTTTGCTTTTAATGGAGTGATGCCCAGAACGTTAATCGGATGAATTGTTAACTGACAAGGTAGGCAATACATTTATTGTAATTTGCCTCTGGATCGGTAACTCTGAATCGCATATCAATTCGAGCTCGAGTCCACTAAATGAGTCCCCGGAATGCACGTGGAAATAAACAAGGCCAAGGATACCTCTTGTAGGCTCTAGTTAGTGGGGCGGAGTCTCCGAGTGGATGGCGATAAGACAACCGCCGCTAGCGATAAGAAAAATTTCAAACCGAAATTTAGTACTAGAGCCCAACCTATGAAAGTCGCTTTGTTTTACCTAACATCCATCGTAAGCAGCGCTTTTTCTACGCTCGCTACCTATTTTTTCCCTCAAGGGCCTCGTTGGTTTTTGTTGTTTCCTTTCTTCTCCTTCTTGTTCCTACTGTCCTCTCCTGGAACTGTACCTAATACTCAACGAGGCCCATTAATCGTCTCTATTTGTTTGCTCATAAGAAGAAACCGATAGACGATGCCTCACCCCGTTACGCCGCCGTCGCAGGACCCGACGATGGTATCTAATGAGGCCCCGCCCCCGCCATCTCAAGAAACCATCAACGACCTCCTCAACACAATCTTCACTGCAAAGACCTCGGCCGCTTCGATCGATGCATGCTATGGCCTCTGCGAGATTATCCTCTCTTCGGTGGGCGTTGCCGGCTTGAACGAGTACGGCATCATTGCCGAGATCAAGAAGGCTGCCGCTGATAAGAAGTCGGGTCTTCGTCGCGAGTCCAGTCAGAACCTTCTAGGTGCCGTCTTTGAGCGTTTCCTCCCTCGGCAGCCTGTCAGCGAAGTTGTTCTTCTCCTCCAGGATGGCGGTCTTGTCGGCTGCGCTCTTGATGCTCTCTCTGATAAGGGCGCTGTCGTCCGTGAGGCCGCCCAGTATGGCCTCGATGCTGCTTTTGGTATCCTGAGCCCCGAGGCTCTCGTCGCTGGTCTCCTTCCTGCTCTTACCGAGTATCTCTCCAAGAAGACCGGAAAGTGGCAGGGAACCGTTGGCGCCTACAAGCTTCTTCAGAAGATGGCTGATAAGGCCCAAATTTCAATTGGAGGCACCAAAGAGGAGGCCCTTGAGAAGGATATCCTCCGCGAGGCCATGGGTGCTAAGCTCGCTGGCTTGATCCCCGTCGTCGAGAATGGCATGCATGACTTGAAGGCTGAGGTCGAGAAGCAAGCCGTTCACACCATGAACTCTCTCACTACCCTTCTCTCCAACGATGATGTTGCTCCTCGTATCCCTCTTCTTATCGATACCATGCAGCACCCTTCGTCTCAGACTCTCCAGAAGGCTATTCACGCTCTGTCTCAAACCACCTTCGTCGCCATCGTTACCTCACCCGTCCTGGCTCTTCTGACCCCTTTCCTCGAGCGATCCCTTAACAACCCCACTACTGCCCAGGAGGTTCTCCGACAGACTGTTGTTATCGTCGAAAACTTGACAAAACTGGTCCACGACCCTATCGAGGCCCGAACATTCTTGCCCAAGCTGATCCCTGGTGTCAAGAGTGTTTGCGACCGAGCCTCGCTCCCTGAGGTTCGTGAGATCGCTGAACGCGCTCTCGCCACTATGGAGAAGGCTATGGGTGACGACAAGGACGTCGTCGCTCGTACCGCTGGAGACGACGTAGCCAAGATTCTTGATGAGCAGATCAAGGCCAACGGCGGCCTTACTGGAAGCCTGGACCTCTGGAAGCAGGCCCGTCCTTATATTTCCGACATGGTTGCTATCGATGTCAACTACCGGTTCGTCAACCGCATCTCTGGAAGAATTGCTCCCTATATCAAGAGTTTGGTGAAGGATACCGAGGCTCCTCAAAAGATTGCCGACACTATTCAGCAGCACTATGTTGATGAGGACCACCGCCGGTACGGTGTTCCTGAGAAGGAGGACGACGGCGAGGTCGAGATTGTCAACGCCGATTTCTCTCTCGCCTATGGTGGTATGTTGCTCTTGTCACACACCAACCTGCGACTCCTCAAGGGTCACCGATATGGTCTTTGCGGCCGCAACGGTGCTGGAAAGTCTACCCTCATGCGAAGCATTGCTAATGGCAAGCTCGAGGGATTCCCTCCTCAAGACGTTCTCCGTACATGCTATGTCGAGCACAACCAAGGCGAAGACGCTGACATTAGCATTCTCGAGTTCGTTGCTAAGGACCCTGAGATTGCCACTCAAGGCCGCGAACGTATCTCTGAGGTCTTGGCCGAGTTCGGCTTCACTGCTGGCCCCGAGGGTCGACAGGCTGAGAGAGTCGGTTCTCTTTCTGGAGGCTGGAAGATGAAGCTGGCTCTGGCCCGAGCTATGCTCCAGCGTGCCGACGTTCTCCTTCTGGACGAACCTACTAACCATCTTGATGTTGCCAACATCGCCTGGCTCGAGAACTACCTCAAGTCTCATCCCGATATCACCAGTCTCATTGTTTCTCACGACTCCGGATTCCTGGACAATGTCACAACTGATATTTACCATTACGAGCCTAACAAGAAGCTGGCTTGTTACAAGGGTAACCTTGCCAATTTCGTCAAGATTCGCCCTGAGGCTAAGAGCTACTACACTCTCTCCGCCTCTACGGTCCAATTCAAGTTTCCTCCTCCTGGTATCCTGACTGGTGTCAAGTCTCAGACCCGCGCTATCATCCGCATGTCCAACGTCTCATACGCCTATCCCGGTGCGACGAAGCCTTCACTGCAGGAAGTCTCTTGTCAATTGAGTCTGTCTTCTCGTGTTGCCATCATTGGCCCCAACGGTGCTGGCAAATCGACTCTTATCAAGCTCCTTACCGGCGAGACCATCCCTACCACCGGAAAGGTTGAGAAGCACCCTAACCTCCGTATTGGTTATATCAAGCAGCATGCTCTAGAGCACGTTGAGATGCATTTGGAGAAGACCCCTAACCAGTATCTTCAGTGGCGTTACCAGCACGGTGACGACCGTGAGGTTCACATGAAGCAGACTCGTGTTCTGTCGGATGCCGATCGTGCTCAGATGGACAAGTGGGTTGATCTGAAGGATGGAAAGTCTCCACGCCAGATTGAGGCTCTGGTTGGTCGTTCAAAGTACAAGAAGACCTTCCAATACGAAGTGTAAGCCCCCTTCATTGTTTTATCACAAAGCTCATTACTAACTTTCAATAGTAAGTGGCGAGGTCTCCTGCCCAAGAACAACACCATGATCTCTCGTGAGACTCTTACCGAGCTTGGATTCGACAAGCTCGTCCAAGAATTTGACGATCACGAGGCTTCCCGAGAGGGTCTCGGTTACCGTGAGCTTCAGCCCAAGGTCATCTCCAAGCACTTCGAGGATCTCGGACTCGACCCCGAGATCGCCAATCACAACGAGATTGGCTCTCTTTCCGGAGGTCAGAAGGTCAAGGTCGTCATTGCTGGAGCTATGTGGAACAACCCTCATCTTCTCGTGCTTGACGAGCCTACCAACTTCTTGGATCGTGACTCCCTTGGTGGTCTTGCAGTTGCTATTCGCGACTTCAAGGGCGGTGTTATCCTGATTTCTCACAATGAAGAGTTTGTCGGTGCCCTCTGCTCCGAGCAATGGCATGTCCGTGACGGTCGTGTTGCCCTTCGAGGAAACACTGCTGTCAGTCTCGACCGCTTCGAGGACAGCCGTCCCAGCAGCGGCGTTAACAGCACTGCCGCCAGCTCTGTCGTCAGCAGCGCTGTCAACAGTGGTATCGAGGACAACTCGGATATGAAGTTCAAGGCCAGGAAGAAGAAGAAAATGACCAAGAAGGAGCTCAAGGAGCGTGAGGTCCGCCGCAGGCTTCGTCACATCGAATGGCTCAACAGCCCTAAGGGTACTCCTCACCCTCCTGACACCGACGACGAGGACAACTAGAAAAGTTCATTGGATTTTTTTTTAATTTCTTTGCTCTTATGTGTGTTTTTGTTTCGAGACTATGCGGATATGAACAAGTCTCCATGCTGTGCGGTATCTGGCGGTTGTTTACAAAAGGAGAATGAAGGCATCACCTCATTTATGCATGATGCGGTATCGCTATGAAGAATGAATGGTATTTACATACTTAGATAGACCTGAACGGATGGTATAGAGGCGTTGGTTTGGGATAGACGGCTTTGAATCAAATCAAACTTTCTACAGATTCGCTTCCCTACTTTTGTGGTGATTCATTTTCCAATTTTTTAACTCAAATAGTCGTTCACTTATTGATTGAGTGAACCATAAAGTGAGAGCAAATGTCACTGTAGATATCGAGGTGATGGAATGTGTGTCGATAGAAGTTTAATGTTAAGAGCAACAATGACTCGACAGTGTCACTTTAAATGAACCTCTGTTTTGAACAAGGCTTTATCTGTTGTTATATATACAGGCAGGCTCTCAAAGCCTAGCCATGAAAACGAATGTTACTGGGTATGATCCTTCTATACTCCGTTGACTCAAGGTCTGATGAAAAGACAGTACAAAAAGAAGAAAAGGAAGAGACAGGCTTTTGGGCGGTACTTGAGCCAGAACTACCATGAAAAGGTCATAAGGGCAGGATTCAATGCCAAGGGCAGCAGAAAATGGCTTCCGGCGACAGTGGCCATGGGCAGGATTGCAACAAAGTCGTTGATGCGCCAATAATGAGGAATAAAGTCAGCGGTAGCCATTATGATGAGACCGACAATGACCAGCAAAGATAATGTCATTGAGACACGGAACTAGTGTAATGTATTAGCATTTGACCATGATAGATATCGATGGATAAAGCTTACCTTCTTCAGGACCTTGGGAACCTCAATGAAGAAGTTGGAGAATTCAGCCTCCTTAGACGTGGAGCCCCAACTCATGTCAATCTCGAACATGTGTGCCAAAAGAGCCTGGCTCACGTGAAGGGAAAGGCCACCAAGGAAAACAGCCAGCATAAGAGTCCACTTGAAGTTCTCGTAAATGGCATAGCCCAGAGTCCGCTCACCAGAGCGATATCTCATGATAGCAAGTGCGAGGTTACCGAGTCCATTGAACACAAGGATGATAGAGAACCACACTTGCCAAGAGTCAAGGTAGTACTTATCGAGATATCCATTGAACCAACCCATCAGGAAGTAATTGGCTGTGGTCATGATCCACGCTGCTCCAATAGCATAATAAGTGCCAATGTAAGAAATGACAGTGATCTTGGAAGTGAAACGAATGTTGGAAAAGCAGAAGCGGCGAAAGAGGGGCGTGAAAGGACCGCGCCATAGCCAAGTGCGGATGGGGTTGAAGAGCAGCTCGTTGCAGCCAAATGCGTACTTTTCCCATCGAGCAAGTTCGTCATAGACGGTCAGAGACACCCCCTCCTTGAAGCCATCGCCGGCCCAAGCAGCGAGGCGGATGATGTAGCCATTGCACTGAAGACGAAGAGACATGTCGAAATCCTCAGAGACGTGACTTTCGGACCAGAACTTGTCATAGCCATCCTCATCTTGGTAAGCAACTTGCTGAATAGCAGACCAGCGAAGGATGGCATTATGGCCGACGAAAGGAGCAACATCGCCGTTGGAGACAGTAAAGCGGATAGCAGAGTAGATAAGATCTGTGAAGAAGGTGATGCCGTTCTCGAAATAGGTGTGGACAACTTGCATAACACCAGAAGAAAATTGCATGATGCCGACATCAGGAGACTGCTCCATCTCGGAGACAGAGTCAAGGAGGCAATCAGTAGGAACACGAGTATCAGAATCAATGAGAAGGATATAGTCGCCAACACGGATGTTTCCGTCAGCCCAGGCGCGGCCATTTTCCTCGAGAACATCTTTGAGAGCCTGCTCATAGGCAAGGGCTTCATCAGACTGGCTCCAATCGGCAGGGCGCTTGATGAGCTGTAGGCGCTCTTCGACTTTGCAAGAAATCATGAGGCCAAAGTTCATGTTTGAAGCCTTCTTGAACTTGCCCTTCCGTACAAAGCCATCCTCGCCGTGTCTCGGTCGTGCAACCCAGCCAATACTGTTATCGGCATAGAAGTCGATACGGGCGTCACGTTCCTCTTCGTTGAGAAGCTGGAGGCCGTCATCGTTGATGAACATATTGGCAGAACCACCCTGCAGTTCATAAGTTGACATGGCCTGCTTGATGGACTTGACGGTAGGGAGAATGACGGCATTCAGACCCTCCTTGTAGACAGGACACTGGATGGTAATATGAGGCAAAGTGGCTCCCTGGAGTCTTCGTGGCGGACGTGCTGAATAGAACCTGGAGTTGATAGTCAGTTGGCGAATTGGACCAAAGATTTGTGCCAAACAACCAATAATGACTTGGGCGAAGAAAAGAGAGAAGAATATTTGGATTGGGAAGAGAGCGACGAGGCCAAGTCGCTTGTAGTCGCCATCGATGGCTATCTCCATAGCCAGCTGCCTCCATGCAGCTCCGAGGGAGGCCATGACGAGGAGGAGTGTAAGGGAAACAAGGACAGCATTCTGCAGATGAACTGGTCGAGCTTCCGGCTTGATCTCACCACTCTCTTCATCGATCTCGTACTCCGCCGCAATAGTAGAGTCTCTTTCATCTTCATCAACTGACTGGCCAGAGTTCCACACCAGCTCCATAAGCTCTGATTCGATGATCTTGGCTCGCGCCATCAAGTTCAGTGCATCATCATCCCAGACAACAAGAAGACCATCTGAAGCAATGAAAGCCGCGAACTGATGCTTACGAGCTCGGGGCAGGTCATTTACTGTAGGCAGAATCTGCACACGAAGACCGTTCATCAATGGAACATCCACTGCGTCAGGAGACCATTGGAGGAAGGTCTTGATGACACGAGAGTTGACAGTCATCGCACACTAAGATATATGTTAGTAATCACTCTTGTCGTAAGAAAACAAGTTGTACACACCTGAACATTGAGAGCCGTGCAGGCGATTGCAAAAGGAGATTGTCCCAATTGAGGTGGGCAAGCCATGTACTGGCCCCGAGACTTGCGTAGAAGAACACCCTCAATATCACCAGAGCTATCCCCAACCCAGAGTTGGGAGCACTGCTGCTGGTAGAGATAGTTAACCATGACCTCATGCTTGATGTCATCGAGGAGATTGCTGTTGCCTGACTTGGATGACGGCGCAATTGAAGGAGGGCCTGCGGTGAACTTGGGCCCAGCTGCTGAATGTAGCTCTACCACGGCAGCAGGAGGAATCTTCTCTTCGATGATTGGGGCGTGAAGGGACATTGATGGCCGGTGGCTAGGCCTCCTGGGAGGAGGTCCTATCGGTGTCTGAGGCGGGATTTCCGCTTTGAAGTAACTGCCGATACCCATCTTGACGGTGCTTGTCGAAGACTTGGCAAGTACAAAAACAAGATTCTGAAGGACTGCGTCTGGGGACAAAGCCCGCTGTATAATATCCTGAAGAATTCGTATATCAAGAACAAGAAGTCTGTTCCTGGTACCGAACTGTCGTGAAGATCTGTGCCGAAGCGATCCCGCGTATATGGATTATGTTGGAAGGACTGTGAGGTTTCTCAGACTCATAACCATGAATATCTTATTCAGAAGAAGACAGGTTCAAGGAGTGACAGGAAGTTACACTTATTGAGCGAATGACAGAAGAAAGAATGGATGAAGGGAGTGAAGGATCGAAGGATCGTAGTGAGTGAAGGTCTGAGATGAGGGGATCAAACCTCACAGAGTGCAACGACCGGTTCAATTAAACAAACCTGTTTGAGCTTCAGTGTTTAAGTTTCTGCGCCAGACTCAGCCAAGGAATCGGGGACCAGCATGTTAAAGTTTTATTCTCTTGCTCGGAGGGAGAACCAGTATGCGGCGACCACGCCACTACGGCTAGACAGCGAGACAATGAGGTCGGGCATCGCGACAGAAGCTGTACGAAGCGGATCACGGACATCCACTTGGATGACCACGACTAGACTCTAGGCAAGCCTTACAACCAACGTCGAGCCGGACAGCCCTAGGTCTAGATGGAATAGCGTGCAAGAAACGGAGGGGTGACGATTATGTTGGAGCCGTAAAGTGTGGCTAGCGGTTCCTAGACTGTTGGTCTTGGTGTAGGCGTGTCTCAGACTAGTCGACCGGGGTCCAGCGCATGGCACAAGAGATTGTCCCGGGTGGCTGGAAACGAGACAAGTCCATGTGGGCACAAAGCTTGTTGTTAGCATTTTGTCGTTCTGAAACCTGACCGATACCTCATCCAGCTCGTGAATGCCAAGCTTGAATCGAGAGCCAAGCCTATTGTTTGTGATCCTCCAACAAGAGGATCGATCCATGGGTACGACCCATATCAGGAAGTCAGAACGTAATATAATGTGGCAAGTACTGCCTTTGTTGGACCGTGCCACTTGGATCTAGAGACTTGCTGTACTGTAAGTGGCGTCTGGTTCTGCGAACCGGTTGAAGCGGGAGAGCCGGAAACTGTAAACACGACGTGGACCTGTAGGGCGACGGGAGCATGAAGTTGTTGATGAGCGATTCCATAACGATCCATAACCTGCCTATCATAAAGAGGTCTCTCTGTCTAGGCACAGCTGAAGTTCTGATATCGTCAACATCTCTTGCCTCTCGCTATCATGAGTTTCCGTTGTGTTGGTGTTTTGGCTGACTGCGACTGTCACATCTGAAGTGGAATTGCGGATAAAGTATGTTCTGTATTAGGCCTAGAGGGATCTTGCACATGAACCAATCACACACTCGTATTTCACGATTGATACGCAAATTGGGTAAGCGGGATAGATCTGCCCCTCCCCTAGTGTCACTGTGACAGCTTCAGTGGCGTGTTGTGGCTTGTTTGTGAGCTCCGGGAAAGGGAAAGCGGCCACAATGTTTGTTACCTACCTTAAGTAGTAGGAAATGCAGTCTGACGTGGGGACAAGAGCAGATTGAGCTGTACCTGCATCCCCTTGGCTTG